CATTATGACATTTCTCACACCTGATAGGTATTGGGCCGCTAGTAGCAATAAAACGGCAACATTTGTAACACGAGTAACAGAGTACACTGGTAACACTGGTAACACTGGTAACACTAGTATTACTGGTAACGATAGTAACACGTAGTAACACTGGCAATATTAGCAATACGGTTAACACTGGAAACATCGGTAAACTCTGACGGATCCCATAAATAAACTTGTGTTACTCGTGTTATAGTGTTACTCGTAACCTGTATTACCAGCGTTACCAGTGTTACTCACTGTTACTCACTCACCAGTCAGTGAGACGCCGTTCTAGAACGAGACTTTATTTGTAATTATTCGCTACCCAACAGCAATAAAGGTAACACAAGTAAGACGAAAAACGAACACGGGTAACCCGGGTAACATGGGTAACACTAGTAACACGCGCAACACTAGTAACACCAAAAGCACTAGTAACACGGGAAACAGGGGTAATACTGGTGATGTATGGTCAAAGCCGAACGGCGTTTGAAAACGAACTTCGTTTTCATACCCGCAAAATGAATTTTAGGAAAAATAATCTCTTTCTGAGCACTGCTGAAGTACAACTGAAACATTGCTCGAAATAACCAGAAATTATCAGAGAAGGAGAAAGTTGACAGCCATAAAAGACGAAAGAAAATTCTTGGAAATATCCTACAAAGCTCGCAAACTTGTTACGTAAGCGTCATTAACTCAAAAAGTAGAAGGACTGCAGAAATGCACACTGAATCCCCGTATTTCTGAAGATGAAACTTTCAATTAAGGCAAACAAAGTTTTTGCTGCAATACGGCACCTGATTTTGACAAGTTTACAGCTCTACACATCACTCAATATTGCTGGTGAAAACTAAAGTTTGTAGTTGAGCTCGTATAAATCGGATAATAGTGCTGTTTGCCGTGCATCAAGTTACAATTATTTACTGCAATATCAAACTTGAAGTATATATTTTTGGTCAAAGTTATTAGCTCACGCAACCGGAAATCAAACACTGCTTTTACCTGATTCGTTTCGTATGTTGCTTTCAAAAGGGCTCTGCGTTTTTGCCACAACGATTTTACAGATCCACAAACAACAAACTCACCGGATACTTCCACCTGGTCATCACCGCGGCCTTCCATGTTCATTTAGGAGTAAAAATGAGTAGTTCGCATACTGGCTGGTTGATAAAGAGCCAAGATATGTAGACATGTTTGAACAAATCAACTTTCCTTGTTCCTCGTTTATTTTTGAACTACTCTGTGATGCACTCTCAAAAAATTGGACATCGAAGAATGTTTTGAATTCATTTACTAAGCAGATAACGATCAGTATTTCGGAAGTAAGAGTGCTATACCTTTGCTGACATTGCGCACGTATATATGTCAGTGATTTGTGTCTATCCCTCAAAGCGAAACTTGAACTCTTTCAAATATTCGCATACGGTGTTCCAAAACAATGCAGCAGCGACCTGCCTGATAGTATTCTAATTTCAGGAGTACAAGACGCACTCTTTTTTTCTAAACTCGAGCATCCTGAGCACACCAAAAGATCTCGTTACCAAAGGATCCTATACCATGCTGCGTATTGCCCGAGAGTATCGTGAGGCATAAGCTTCGTCTTTCGAAATACGACGAGCGGCTGAGCGGCTCGCTTAGCGGAAAAGTTGCGTCTTAATTTTATTATATTAGGGTAAGTTGTTTGCTAAATTAGTCGCTCTATGCCAGCGGGCGTTTGAATCTACTTTCTTACAACAATTTTTGCAACACTTTTGATATACTTTTCCGTTATCCGACCCATTTTTCAGACGTATGCTTCTTTTGTGGTATCCAATTCGGTCATAAATTCACAGAAAGGTGAGTCAACCTCGTGCCTCATTTATGACATATCAATTTTTCTTGAGGCGTGGCACGAGGTTGACTCACCTTTCTGTGAATTTATGACCGAATTGGATACCACAAAAGAAGCATACGTCAATTTGTTATCAATCTGTTTGACAAGTTTTCAAGAGTTTGGTTAGCCTACCTACCAGTGTAAATTCAACCTCTTTTCAATCAATAATGACTTCATTTTTATACAGTAGTTCAAAAATAAACATTAACGCCGTAAGAATAACATACTGTGTTCAACGAACACATTAGATTTGCCTAAAAAGAAGAGTGGGCTATTGTTCCACCATTGAAGCTATGAAACAAACTGCAATCAGGTGCTTCAACCCATCACCTACATTCTTTCATAGCTAAGTTCGCATGGCGGGAAATCTTAAAAAAAGATTTTTTGAGTCCTAATGCTCCCAAGATGTTTTAATATACGTCTTTGTTTGTTTTGCTTTTATAAATAACACTGTACACTTTTAGAGTCATTTCCAATGCCATCGTACCTCACCGAAATTTTGAAAAAAACATATCCAGCTGAGAATAAACGTGTCGACTTTTATAATACCTTCACACGTGGAAGAGAGTAAGCTTTTATGAATTTTATTCTTTTTATTGCTTTTATGAATCTAGAGCAAAAAAAAACCATTTCATGAGAACGTCTTGAAAAAATGTGTCCGGATGACGGAAAAGTACCACACTTTTCTCAAGCCTCCCTTTTAACTAATTTATCTTCGGCACTTTTGAGGGAAAATGAAATCTTCGGCCGCTATCAAACAACTTCAGCAGCATCGTCCAAACAATAGCAGCTCATTTTCATTTGTAAGAAAGACGCGATAACTTGAAGCAAGACAAGAGGTGAGAAAATGCGTGATTGCTCTCAAATACTCGCGCTCTCTTTCACTTTCTATCTCTCCCTCTCTCCCCTGCTTTAGTTTGAAATCTTTGTCCGGGCAGAACGGGCGCCAGTCAGATAAACGAATTGCTTGTGTGCTATATAGGAATGTATTTTTTTTGTGAACTCCCCGTGCATGGACCGAGTGAGATGGAACTGAACAGATATTTACACCTTAAAGAATGTTTAAAGCCATCAATCTGATTCGCTGGCACCTCCTTCTATGATTTATTGGGTTTTGGACTTTGCAAGAAAACAATTCTTATCAACCGCTAATTAATCACTTGCACAGCTCAATGTAAAGCGTTCTTAGACATTCGATGTTGACTCGCGCAAAGTTTTGTGAAAGCGCGGAATGACGGCGCGAGACAAGTAATCGGGTTCGCGACAAAATCCCGAGACAGTATTATGTGTTGGGACAATGCTGCGCGAGACAACGCTTTGGCGGGACCCACCTCTTGCAGAAAATACGCGATAGCTCGAGCGCGAGACATCCTGATGAACGGACGCAGGTGGAGCGCGTTATCTCACAGTAATCATTTTGCTATATCCCTATTTGCGTTACATCATGTATATATCTACATACATTATATAGATACCAGCCGCTCTCTGCCGCTACGCGGCAGATTCGGCTGTTACTCGGCAGCTTCGCTGCCTCGTACACCTTTCATTTTAATGTATACCAATGTAAGATCAAGTCATTTGATTGCCTGTTCGGACGAATTACTTCTGTCTATGACCTGTTTAGATCGACAGACCGAAGACATAATTTTGTACCTGCAAGTTTATGAATTAACATCATAAGCAACAAATAGTATGCAATTACAACGTAGAATGGCTGCAACAGTGACTACACCAAAAAAGAAGATGCCAACAACAACAACAACGATAAGTACAACAGAAAAGGCCTATGACACAACAACAGCAACAAAGGAGCATTCGTAACAGCAAATCTTAGAGTAGAACTTCACAGGACTTCGGTGGAAACGACGTTGACTAATTTTGATTGGCGACTTGCACAATGAGACCTTCACGCAACCTCAAACGGCTGCGGGCCACATAGAGTTGACCGTGACTGAAGACATCGGTGGGAAGCCACAGTCCAACCTTGCTGAAGTATTGGCCTTGGGCCTTGTTGATGCTCATAGCGAGCGCCAATCTGACGGGGAATTGAGAGCGCCGGAGTCTGAAGGGCAGATTCTTGTCGTTGTAGTTGTGGATCCTCGGAATCACGACAGACTGCCCATACCGATTACTTATTATGAATTTGCATTGTTTGAGACGACGGCCCATATCGCGGACTTGTAGTCGTGTTCCATTGCATAGCCCGGATGAAACGTCCAAGATCCTAAGCAGCATGACGATGGCGCCCTTTTTCAACTTGAGACAGTGCGGCGGCAAGGAGGAGCTAGAGATTGTGTTGAGAAAGTCGGTAGTATTAAATTGACTCTGGTCGTTAGCGTCGTCGGTGACAATTTCATCGTGCGAAGTAAATCTTTTCTTCACCTTGTATGCGGCTTAGAACTTGTTCGTTAATGGATCATGTCGACGTTTTTGGGGGCAAGGATAGCCTGATCAGAGAAATTAACCAAAGGTTCGATGCAATCGCCATATAGCTCCTGGACTATATCTCCTCGACTCATGGTTTCCGCTGGCAGTTTCACTCGTCCTTGACTGTCTTGACGGTGCCGTTGCGCACACGCAGTAGAAAGTCCTTTTAATCCGCTCGTCACTCGCATATTTTCGGGAAGGCGGAGTACTATGAAAAGCGGCCAAAGGGACGACTGCTTAATGCACATGCTTAGTTGGTCTGCTCGCGATCCGCTGCAAACAACCGGTAAGGCCTAAGGCATACCTCACGCGATTCGGCCAAATCGCCACTTTCACGCGACTTGGCGATTTGCCAGATATCTACAAATTTATCGTGCGCGCTTCTCGAACGTCTAGGCGGGTAGCTTGTGTAAGTTGTTGTGAATGGGTTAAGTTCTGACCAATGGAAACACATTGATGACGAATTACATGGAGTCGTTGTTGTGCCAAATCGCGCAGCGACAGGATTCGCGCGAGGTATGCCTTAGGCCTAAGATCTGCCTAAGTCGCCTCCGCAAACGACCATTTTTCCGCCAAAGGCTTGTCCACTTGCATGAAATCGCGTAGTACTGCATTCACCGTCTCAAAAGCCGTTTTTGGGATTATAGAGGCTTCGTCCCAGATGAACACGTCGTTTTCAGCAAGCAGTCTCGCGTCCTTCATCTGCTTTCTGTGGAATGATGTCTCGCAGATGTTCAAGATATTCAGCTTGAACAACGACACCGTTGTGCGACCCGATGAGAGCAGGCTGGCCGCGATTCCTGTCCACGCTGTCCGCGACTTTGCGCCCTTGACCGATGAGGATATCAAAAAGGCATGTATAGGTCCACGTTTTATCTGAAGCGCCGGGACCATCGATGAAGAAAAGCTTTGAAGCGTCTGGATCATCAAGAGCACCAAGAATGGTGTCAACCGCTGCCTTTTGCTATGAATTTAAAGCCCCATATAAGCGATTACCTTCGGCTGAGCAAAATGCAAATCGTACGCGTGAGTCGTGGGACGACGGCCTAACGACAGTGTGGGAATGTTGAATGAAGCAATGTTGATATTGATATGTCTCTTGATAAGTCGCTCCTCAAGATCTCCGCCTTGCGCCACGTGCTCAAGTTCTCTGCGCAATGTGCATCTGCGAACTGGGAGTGGAGGTAGGTAACGATTCAAACATTACTTGTTGCCGCGAGTCAAGCGTAGAGATCGTTTGTGCTGTGTTCTCGTCGATTGGCTCGTATCCTCGTTGGCCAACCCGTTCTGGGCTCGCACCATGCCTGGATTGATCCAGTGTCTCCTGAAGGTGTCCTTTTAGCTGTGGTTCCTGTTGCCGTCGACGAAGATGACGTTCACGCATTGAGGCAAAACGCCGTTCTCGTTCCTCTGGTGTTTCTCGGCTACGACGAAGGCGGCTACGCATGGCTTCAGAAGTGCGCCTTGCTGCGGTACGGGTTCGGGTTCTCTAGGCGATATGCATCTGCGACTGAGGTGTGGAGGGGGACGGTCCATTGCTGGAGGGGGTCAATCTCGGTGCCATGGTGTGGGAGTAACAGTAGTCAAAGGAGGTACGACCGATGAAGGCATGGTATGAATGAACCGTAAGGCCGGGATAGGGTATTTTGATTTGTTCATATTTGATCTCGTGGATGAACCATTTTGATTTTGTTGATGAGCTAATCAGTCGGCGAAATCCGTTGCGAAAGGTCAACGCATAGTTGGATATCAACTACCTCCAGAATGTTGCATACAAAGAATCAAAAAAGGTAAAAAAGTTTAGTGGCAAAGTTGTAGATATTCTGTTCAAATTAACTATGTTCAGTTATCCCTTCCTGCCAGTTTTCAGCTCAACAGAGATTAGAACATGAAAAAATCGACAGATCGATAGCGCCGCTAAGTGATTTTCTGTGAAAAAGCTTAGTGACACCCGCCCCACCCCGATATTCATGTGTGCAAAGCTTCGTTTGAATTCAATGAAGGTTTTCGACTTTTTAGGCCGGTCATAACGAACTTGCTAAGCGAAGAACGCAAAAAATCGATAAATCGATAGCGCCAATGGGTGATTTTCGGTGAAAAAGCTTAGTGACACTCGCCCTACCCCGATCTTCATGTGTGCAAAGTTTCATTTGAATTCAATGAAGTTTTCTAACCTTTTAGGCCAGTCATAACAAACTTGCTAAGCGAAAAACGCAAAAAATCGATAAATCGATAGCGCCAATGGGTGATTTTCGGTGAAAAAGCTTAGTGACACTCGCCCTACCCCGATTTTCATGTGGGCAAAGTTTCATTTGAATTCAATGAAGTTTTCTAACCTTTTAGGCCAGTCATAACAAACTTGCTAAGCGAAAAACGCAAAAAATCGATAAATCGATAGCGCCACTTGGTGATTTTCGGTGAAAAAGCTTAGTGACACCTGCCCTACCCCGAACTTCATGTGTGCAAAGTTTCATTTGAATTCAATAAAGTTTTCTAATCTTTTAGGCCGGTCATAACAAACTTGCTAAGCGAAAAACGCAAAAAAATCGATAAATCGATAGCGCCACTCGGTGATTTTCGGTGAAAAAGCTTAGTGACACCCGCCCCACCCCGAACTTCATGTGTGCAAAGTTTCATTTGAATTCAATGAAGTTTTCTAACCTTTTAGGCCGGTCATAACAAACTTGCTAAGCGAAAAACGCAAAAAATCGATAAATCGATAGCGCCACTTGGTGATTTTCGGTGAAAAAGCTTAGTGACACCTGCCCTACCCCGAACTTCATGTGTGCAAAGTTTCATTTGAATTCAATAAAGTTTTCTAATCTTTTAGGCCGGTCATAACAAACTTGCTAAGCGAAAAACGCAAAAAAATCGATAAATCGATAGCGCCACTCGGTGATTTTCGGTGAAAAAGCTTAGTGACACCCGCCCCACCCCGAACTTCATGTGTGCAAAGTTTCATTTGAATTCAATGAAGTTTTCTAACCTTTTAGGCCGGTCATAACAAACTTGCTAAGCGAAAAACGCAAAAAATCGATAAATCGATAGCGCCAATGGGTGATTTTCGGTGAAAAAGCTTAGTGATACCTGCCCTACCCCGAACTTCATGTGTGCAAAGTTTCATTTGAATTCAATAAAGTTTTCTAATCTTTTAGGCCGGTCATAACAAACTTGCTAAGCGAAAAACGCAAAAAAATCGATAAATCGATAGCGCCACTCGGTGATTTTCGGTGAAAAAGCTTAGTGACACCCGCCCTACCCCGATTTTCATGTGTGCAAAGTTTCATTTGTATTCAATGAAGTTTTCTAACCTTTTAGGCCGGTCATAACAAACTTGCTAAGCGAAAAACGCAAGAAATCGATAAATCGATAGCGCCACTCGGTGATTTTCGGTGAAAAAGCTTAGTGACGCCCGCCCCACCCCGATTTTCATGTGTGCAAAGTTTCATCCGAATTCTTCGATTCTTTGTGCCGTTTCAGGCCGGTCATAAAATAATGCTTATCCAAATATTATATAAGTATTGATATATGTATACATAGAAATATACACAGCCAAAACTAACAAATTTATTACTTCTAAAATCAAGTAACAAAGAAAAAGACAAAAAAAAGGACTTCGGAAGAGCCAAACTACCATGCTACTGTCTTAAAGCTTTACAATATGGGAGTCATTACATCATGAGACTGATATATACTAGGTAGCCGCTTGAGCAATGACAGTCGCGAATTGGAAAAATTGTGGCTGCAGATGGGCTAAATTTCATCGGGGCAGGTCTTTTCTACTTCCTTGATAGCGGAGGCACTGCTTTCCGTCGTCTGAACCACACGCTTTTTGTGAAAAAATATACGAGAGTTGACAGTGGAGAGGAAGAAGTGCATGGTACCTTACCTTTGGAGGGAGCAGTTTAACTCTTTCCGGATTGAGTTCGTAGACTCGTACATCTCCCCTGGAAAACGCAAAAGAATGTCCATGCGGTCATAACTACTTAGAAAGCTTACAAGGCTCTCCGAAGGCTATGCGAGCGAAGACCGCCCAATCCATTCTGGCTTGCGAAAGCACGTCGAAAGCTTTTGTTCTCTCCTTGTCATCCTTTCCAAGATTTGGCCACCAGCTGAAATATTCAAATGAAAATGCAAACCTACGGTTCTCCGAAACGTACATTGTTGGATTCCGCATCAATTCTGAAGCGGGTTGCAGCAAATCGTCGACTTCGGAGTGGAGTGACAAATTTGCCATGTAGAGGAGTGCCTCATCGAGGCCCTGAGTGCACGATGACGATCCTCGTTCTTCACTGATTGAAGGCAAATAATCGTACAGTCGACGGACTGTGGGCTGTAGCACTGGTGTAGACAGCCTCAGATAACACTTTTTCCTCTCATGGCGCTTTGCATATTGCAGAAGACAGGATGCTTCTTCTGAACGCGCATTACGCGTATAAGCCGGTCTAAGATTAGTTGAACATACCGCTTAATACTCTTCTAGTTTCCCGTACAATCTCCTCGTCTTTACTTCGCCCTCTAGCGCCCCAAGCGGTACAATTTTGATATGTTGAGTAGTCTACAACTTGTTGATGACTGTGCAGTATATTGAAGAGTATTTTGTAGTGTTTGTAAAACTTGTTATGTGTCATGTTTTTGCCTTGTTATTTTTGTAAAATACTGTTATCTTTTGATAATCGTTGCTTGTGATCGCATAAGCCACAACATCCAACAACATCCAACATTCATGCAAATCTCTAGAATCTCACATATGCCTGAGCCCATGCCCATACACCCAGAGCATTCACACCGGTGCTGATTGTACTACCAGGCATCAAAACCATAATACATTTGACCTTCATATACCGGTGGTCAAAAGCTAACGTGTACAGAAAATGCGTACCTCTTCTGGGTGCGAATACACTTGGGGTCAATGAGTCACGAGAGGGATGACCCTCGGCCTCACGCTTCTCCAAAGACGACATGCAAAAAAGTACTCCGAAATCAATAATGTATAATCAATGATCAAAAAACGAAAGATACGAACCTACCGATTAAGCAGCTGTGCTCAAATTGCGGCCAGGGTATGCCGTCAAGGCAACTCAGCTGGCACTACACGTTCTCTGATGATATTAATCAGACTCACTGAGTCAGATAGAAAAAAAAACGCATTACCTATCCCAAGCCGTAAAGGAGATGTACGACCGACCTATATGTTCAAGAAGAAATAATGAGTCTAGTAAAAGGTGTTGTTGTTATTCAAACTCGCGTTGTTCAACCTGCTCGAACTAGTTTCTCAATGTTTTCATCTCCCGACATCCATTCGCGAGATTCCCAAAAATCTGGCAAAAAATTGTCTCGCGCATGTCTACGCGCTTTCCCGCGAATCCTTTAAAAAGGTGCGGATCTCCGGCGCTGAGTCAACATCGAATGTCTGAGTTAAAGCTCATTTCCGTTTTGCAACGAAGAAGCGGAAAATCAAAGAGGGCCATTTTAAAGGTGAGCCTGCGCTCGGGCATGAGCGCTTTCTTTCATTATGAAACTAACTACGAGTGCAGGGTAAGGAAAGAGAAAAGTCGATTGGGGACAACAAAGTCTGAAGCGGGAAAGTTGAGGAGACGCGAAAGGAAAGCAGTAATTTTATTTTTGCTAGATCACGATTCGAGTCGCCTATGTGGGTACAAATGAGGATCAAGGGCGGAGACCAGGATGCCAGCTATTAGTACAAGCACAAATGGAAATCAATGACTTGCACATCTTTGCGCGAGGTAGCGGTCAACGAAAGGAGTAGGTTTATGGTGGTTTCTAAGTGGCGGCACGGTTTCGCGGTACCTGGGTACCTGGGGCTGCTCCGTATTCTGTGCAGTAACAGCAAGAGGGTCAATTAGGGGTTCCACAACGTTATTTTTCTCGGTATAGGATCCGCATCATCTTGGACTCGCTAAAGACTTACATTTGACGCAGGATAGGAAAGCACGGTAAATTCAACGAGAGCAACAGAAACGCAGTTTTGGACACGCGCCTCCTATTGTCAGCAGAACCATGAAGCAAGCTGCGCCACAAGACTATCTGAAAGCAGCGTAGTCCATGCTCTAACTAAGGCCCGTATGCACTAACATTTCTGCGGCGAGGGGAGCGGTGTCCCCCGTTATGAAGGGACCGCGTGCGGACGCCGCTGCGGCTTTTTCATCATTGGGGACGCCGCTCCCCTCGCCGCAGGGATGTTAGTGCATGCGGCCCTAAGGCTATTTCACAAGGAGATTAGGGTCAGGAGTAAGTGAGAATGTTGCCACATGAAAAAAACCGTATTTTTAAACATGTGTACGCACGGGCGGTTTCAAGCGCCAACCCGATTTTGACTTGTCTTAACACGTCACGAACGCCGCAAACCTTTCCTCCCATTTGCTTTGCTTAGGATAGCCGCGCAGGGTGTGTCGTTCGCGGCGGTGGTCCTGTGTGGAAAGCATCACGGTCGTGCGAATCGGCCTACACCCCCTCAAATCTGCTGGAGTTAACGCGTTTGAACGATCAAAGGCAGCCACGTTGATAATTCATATTAAAGCAATTCTGGGGGGTGCACGGTAAGTTGTGACCGTGGAATTTGTCCAAAATTGCGGGATTTTCGGGATTCGCGGGGTTTTCGGGATTCGCGATGTTTGCGGGATTCGCGGGATTTGCGGGACTTGCGGGATTTAGCTATAACTTCTTTTAAATCCAATTTATATGCAATCTGCGTGTAGATTTGGCTTCAGCTTGATGAGACGAATCGTTTGATATACAGTATGTCCGTAATTCGTGGTGAGGGGGTACTTACAATGATACCTTGTTGTTCTCTATGTTAAGGCTTTTGAAAACATTTAGAACAGCGCAAATCCTAAATAGCAGGTTCTGGTACGAAGTTTTCATTATCGAAAACTACGCGAAACAAATTAGGCAGTTTTTATTGACCCTTATCACTGACTAGCTGGCTTACCCGGCTCCGCCCGGCCCTATCATTATTATATTCGTAATCAGCATGCTCGATTACCTCCCTGTGCCAATTCCCAGCCCGTAGCTCAAATTTTGCAAAAAATCGATAAAATTGACATCGATCGATAACGAAAAGTGGACTGTGACACCCGCCGGGGCCCGAAGTGTATGTGTGCCAAGTTTGGTCCGGATCGGTTAAGAAATGGAATTTTCTATTCGGAACATACGGCGGAGCCGGGTAAGCCAGCTAGTCAGTGATATGGGCAAATAAAAACTGCCCAATTTTTCGCGATATACCAGAACCTGCTATTCAGGATTTACGCTGTGATAAATGTTCTCAAAAGCCTTAACATAAAGAACAACAAGGTATTGTAAGTACCCCCTCACCACGAATTACGGACATACTGTATATCAAACGATTCGTCTCATCAAGCTGAAGCCAAATCTACACGCAGATTGCAAATAAAGTGGATTTAAAAGAAGTTATAGCTGAATATCCAGCAAGTCCCGCAAATCCCGCGAATCCCGCAAATCCCGAAAATCCCGCAATTTTGGACAAATTCCACGGTCACAACTGTATGTGAGACCGCCACCTCCCCTCTACTTCTTTTCACAATTCAATCTTGTAAAAAGATTAAGGCCAAATTCAGGTCTTTCAAAACATTCATACACTCCTACTTCATAACTCTACGCCAACCGCA